GCAAATCTTAAATGGGGAAAAACTGTGTCAGCAGGCGGTGCGTTATTAAAATATAGTTTCCAAGCGGAGCGCCCTCTGGAGGTTAGTTTCAAAATACCCCTACCAGTACTTCAGAGTCATCTCTGGAACTTTCATTTCAATTACATTAAAATGCATATACAGTGAAATGCATGAAGATTTACTTTAGTTATAAACATATTTAACACAATTCATAAATACCGATCATCAGCTTTCATTCAAATTCAAATATTTAATGATTGGTCTGAAGGCTCCACTTTGTCTTGCCCATATTAGGCATGCAAATGATGTAGTAACTGTGATCTCCCACCCATTCAAAATGAAGGTTTTCCTGATTGGATGATGTTGAACTAACTAATTAAAGCGAGAGGGTCGTCACCTGCGCACACGTGGGAATTGAGTCCCAAGTGACGATAACAACACACGCTAAGAACAATGACACGCTATAGCCACCTGACACATGAGAAGGTGACGACTTCCCCGCTTTAATACTGGTACTTGCGATGTTTTCCTCATATTGTTTGTGGATTGGCGAATTTGAATTCTACCAGTCATTTTGATTCATAAAAAATTATATTTACAAAATGTTAGTAACATCTTCAGATTTGTGCCTGTATTAATTTTATTGTGTCAATGTATTGATTGCTGAGCTTCGTTTCATATTCTACTTTTCCAATTACCAGGGTAACCAAATTCTGTGAATTCCACTTATTTTGGCCTTGAACATTACTCTGCTTAAAATGATTTTTTTTTAAATAGTTTTTTAAATTCAGTTTTTTAAATGGAAACACTGCTATATACTCATTTTATAGTTTCAAATGTTAATTCAGGGATGAGTTATTCATGATCTGGGAAACTAAAGTTGGGCTCTGTTTGTTACCCGATTGAGTTGTTATTGGAGATGAGACGTTTAGGCCCGAGTGTTACTCAATTTCCTAAATACTTGTGAAAAAAAGACGTGTATATTTTGCAAAACTGAACAATCAGAAACCAAACCTCATGATCTGCAAAAAAAAAACAAAAAAAAAACATTCTTCAAATACTAGTAAAATAAAATGAACGTCAAGGAAGCAATTACCAATCCGTTCTAGGGTTATTTGAAAAAAACATGTTCATTGACTGAAGAGTTCACTGACGGATATCCTGTACACTTTTGAGCTAAAGGCAATCAATGCAATGACATATTTGTATTCAAGAATGGAACAAAAAAAAGAACAAAAACAATTTCTTGTGTGTAGGCTGCTCCAGTGTGTGAAATTGGCTTTATTCATGTTAACGTCAGCTGGCGAGTCTGGTCTGTCAGTGTTAATTCAGAGATTTTGCTCGCTATTACGATGTAAGAACGTCATCACATCTTCGTTGCAATGAGAATGATTCATTTGTCTTTTGTCTGGGGAAAAAAGAACGTCAAACCCAGAGAAACTGTTTTATTTCTGCCAAAAAATATTTGTGTTCTTCGTCAACTTGAACTGAAATCGAAAACATGAACAGAACACGAATGTTTATTATAACTGCACCGTTCATTGGATGTAGGTAAGGAAATGAAGCTTAAAATAAATAATATATGGTATGCAGTATCGATTAATTAGATATGATTTTATTTAATTGTGTTTTTAATCATTATTTAATTGCTGCCATTTTATTTTATTGTTTCCCCTCTGGCACAGAAACGATTAAATAAAAACGGTAATTTATATTGTTGAACTCGTTTGTTTTGTCCATTCATTGAGCATATCAAATACATAATTCTACCATCAGAAAAAAATAGTAATGCAAGTCGGGTTTATTATAAATATTACCGTGTAATCAAAAACGCTCAAAAATATAATAGAAGTCCGTCAGATTACCGCCCCTCACCGTGGGATCTGACACCCCTATTTTCGAATGGTTTATAAATGCGCGAAGCAGGCGATACGATTATTTCTGCGTCAGTCTGTTGCGAAAGTGAGTCTGGTTATTTGCCGTATATTGGGACCAAAGAATGGCAGAAGCTCGCGCCGCCGTCACAGAACCAAGGATATATCACCTCGAAGAAGGCAAGGATACGTGGAAGGACTTCGTAAAAGAGACCACCAAAGCAGTAAAGCGACGATTTTACCGGACACGGTAAGTAATGAAAGGTAGCCGCCGCAATGTGATGATGATGGCGGATGTGTGCTCCGTACGTGTCAGCTAACCGGCTGATGCCAATGCGACGTGTGATAGCCAAACTACAATATTATAGAAGAATATACCAAACAGTACAGCAACCTGTATTGCTTGTGTCATCGACACTTTATATATATTCTAAAAAAAATAGTCTGACCGATCGGTGATCGCATCGTCGAATCGACCTTGTTTATAAAGCCGGTTACCGGTTGAAAATTTTCGTGGGGCCTGTTTGGGTTATATAATCGATGCGACTGTTTTAAACGATAATGGGCCCGTGTTGCGTAAAATAAAACTGATTGTATATGCACCCGTGAACATACAGCACTTTTCATTTTAACTGAGACTGTTATGACCTTGTCTTCCAACAAAGCTACCAAGAACCAGGTCACATGGCGAAAAAACACACTCTCTCTATCATAAACACTGGTATACTAGCAAGCCGGATATTTTTAGACCTGCCTCACTGTTTTATTTATATTCTGGTCGAATTCCTCGGTAACTGGGCACTAAATATGTCACGTTTTTTGATATGGATCAAATTAATGTAATATTATAGGGCACCAATAATAACACAGTGAAGTTCACACAATGATACCAATTACAACACTGAGCAAAGGTTACCTACTGGGCTTTGTGTATCAGACTGCAGTGTTATGTAAACATTAGTTGCAAAAACTGTTTCTGGTTTCCTGTGCGAATATCAGAAACAGCAAAGTGTGTCATTACATTATTCAATATTGTATAATAACGTTCAAGAATAATTAAGATCAATCAATTTAGGTTATTTGATTATGTAATAATTATTTTAATAGTTAAATCGTTATTAGGTAAACTTATCAAAATGAGAGATATCAAATGTAAATAAATTGACGACAGATGTAAGTGAATTGTATAAAATTATCCAAGAATTGTTGCCCCCTCCTTCTCATTATCAAAGAATTCAATGTAATCATAATCTGGTTGGACTAACCATGGAGATAAAAAAAATAATTACTCCATGGACTAACATACTATATGTGTGAGGTTATTACAAAGATACCGAAAAGTTTGCACATAGACAGTACAGCGAGTGTATCTACCGATGCAATCGTTTACTGTCTGAGTGCATATTTTTCGGTACCTCGTAATAACCTAATTATTATATATCTTTTCCTCCCAAGGATACATCATGGAATGCCGAAATTCAAAAAGTTTAGAACGGATTGAGCGAACTTCTTTGTATGGGGTCAGGCCAAAACCTGGAAGCTGCCATGTTTGTTTTTATTATTAGAGTACACTTACGTGCGTAATTGTTGCATATTTGGAAATCGCATTTCTTAATATGGTAGAATGAAAATACCATGTAAAATACCACAAAATTAAGGCACGCTGTATAACTTATGGCATTACGGTGACAGATGTACATGTATAATAATATTAATTAATTAATGCGCAAAATAAGTTTATTTTTCATCGCTTTATAGTTTTGCACCTTCAAATTTTGTTTTTGAATTGAATTCACCTGGTTTTATTTAATCTAATGTCATAAAGTCAGTCATTTTATCCAGTCATGTACTACTAGAAGTAAGCTACACATGTAGTTGTAGAAATATTCTTAAAAATTGTGCTGCAAACAATTTACCACATCACCTCTTGGCAGATCAAACAAATTCTGAGCAAGTTGTCACTTTGTGCAATTATGCTGTTCAGTTGATGACTGCGCACACCATTATGCATTTTCAAACAAATTCTTGATGTAATTGACCAGAATATCACATGACACAGAAACCTGCAAATGGGTCTAGTCTCCATAGTCTTTGTTGGAATACATCATGTATGCTTATAGTAAGCTGTCCTTCATAATTTCCCTACACCCTACCATGCTTCTAAGTTACATAATTCACAGGTGAGGTCAGTTTAATTAGTCCCCGTTCGGACGAAGTCCGAAAACGGGGACTTATAATTTGGTGTCCGTGTGTCCGTCCGTGCGTTCGTGCGTCCGTCCGGAGTCGTATCTCAGAATCCCTTGGACCGATTCTGTTCATT